TGTCGGAGAGAATAGAACTGCGGCACTCTCTATAGCTGAGCGGTAATGGTGGTTTCTGCTACAAGTGGGGTTCAGGTTCGATCCCTGCGAACACATTTTCTTAAAAGAGAGAATAGAATTGTGAGGCACTCTCTATAGGTGAGCGGTAAACATACCGGATTGAAGGGTGGTTTCTGATACAAATGGGGTTCAGGTTCGATCCCTGCGAACACATTTTCTTAAAAGAAAATAATAACAAAACGACTTTATGAGACACGGAAGAGTAATACGTTGATTTGGGGCCCGGCCCACTAACGTCCAATAGCAAGGACAAATAATAAAGGCTTAATTTAAAATTTACACGGATGCGGACCTTGTTAAGTCCGCATCAAACATTCAACTTGTGCCGGTCGTAGCATGATATACAGTATATAACTAACATATATTACACTACAATTGAAATATAGTCGAGTATATCTAAGGATGTGTTGATAGCGCAACTATTATTGATGCAGAATGAGGAATCGGTAGATGGAACCAAGTTCAAAATCCGGATTAGTCTGTTTCATTCATTTTCGCACAAATGCCCTTGGGAACGGGGTATAAATCTATTTCTCTCTGCCTTCAGCTAAGGGTTAAAATGTAGAATAGAAGAGTTCTCTCTATTAGGATGACAACCAGTAACTTCTATTTCATGTCTTTATTTAGAATAGATATTTCATATCATAAAGATTGCTACCATTATTGTTGTGACCAAGTAAAAGGCAAAAGAAATAATAAAACAAGTGTTACAGATATATCACATATTAAACAGTAAGTACAACAGAAGAGTATTACACGACTAGTGAGTGTATGTCGGATGACCCAGCGTTCAATCTATTCGACTTGTATATTTACCAGCCTCCCCCACAAGGCCAAGTTTAATGTGTGGCAATCCGACCCCATAGGCTCGGCCAAAAATTCCCCATTGACCCCATATAAAACGGGGTCGGGTAGCTGTTTCCCCAAGACGAGACTCTGCTCTTCGACATAGCCTCGTCTGGGGATCCTCTCTGCCCGGAGGCAGAGAGTTTGATCAACACAGCTGTAACAGTGCATTCTTGGGACAAAAACCTGGTAATAATTGGCAAGACTTAAAAAACTTTGAAAACCCGACACATTTTCTTTATTGCCGTTGCTTTATCTGGGTCGGTACGTCTTTCGTCTTTGTCAATTATTTGCCCCATGTACTTAATCCTCTCTATGAAAAACTCACACTTCCCGTCTTTTAATTTGAATCCGTAATCCTGGATTCTCATGAACACCTGCCAGACGTGCGATTTATGTTCCTCGATGCTCTCGCTTTTCATCAGGACGTCATCGAGATAGGCTACAGCAAAATCCAGACCATTTAACATCTTGCCCATGACCTGTTGAAAAATGGAAGGGGCGACCTTAACCCCGAACGGAAATCTTGAAAATTTGTATAAACCCTTGTGCGTGTTTATGCAAAGGAGCTTCGAGAATTCCTCGTCCACGGGTATTTGTTGATATGCGTCGCTTAAGTCAATCTTAGAAAAACATTTTCCTCCACTGAGCTTAGCGAATATCTCCTTTGGACTTGGAAGGGGATAATGGTGATCCTTTAGGGCGCTGTTCAGCCCCGAAGAGAAGTCAGCACATACACGAATTTCTTTGGTCTTTATTTTAAATTGAAACTGTGGGAGATGCCCATTCATTATATTCTACCTTTGCCAGAACTCCTATTTCCTCAAATCGATTCAACTGCTGTTCAATTTGATTTAACGAGGCAAATGTAACGTTACGTTTTTTCTTAAAAACTGGGTTTACGTCTGACTTTGGCTCAAACTTAGCAGACATTTTTGTGCATTTTCCTAGTCCTCCACTGAAAACGTCAGGAACATTTTTTTTTAAGTTCACCTTTCTGTTTTCTGATTCGTCAGTCAAATTCTCGACTTTTTGACATAATGAGTTAATAGACATATTCAAAAGTTGAAACTGTTCTAACCAATCAGTCCCGAACAAATTACCTGTATTCTTCATAATATACCCCTTTAGTTTTAAAGTTTTACCTTTGAATGACAAATTCGTTACATGTTCGTCCATAAACTTAATAGGGTCGCCAGTTACACTTTTAGCTATTCGGTTCGTACTTAAAGTCGACGTACCCAGTTTTTTGTATGTTTGATAATTAATTATGGATAAGTCTGAACCCGAATCAAGCTGTAGCCGTATATTTTTGTTAAATATTTGTATTTCAATATATTTCCTGATGTTACTACATTTTGGTTCATCGGACTTGGCAATTTTTACAAAACTTTTTTTTTGTCATGTTCTTCATTCTCTAGTGAACTTTCATGTCCTAATTTATCGCAATTAAAACATTTTTTATCATTAAAAGGACAATCTCTATACCAATGTAATTGACCACTCCTGAAACCTGGTCTTGACGGCAAAGTAACTTTATTATTTTTTGGTTGACCCTTTTTAATTTTTCTTTGGCGTATTTTTTTAATGTGAGCCACGCCACTCTGATCGAATCCTCTCTGACGCTCACGAAACGTTGGCAATCTTCAGCAACTTGCTGTAAAGTAACGTCGGGATCGTCTTCAAGCTTGTTGAGTACCCTACGACGTATTTCGGCGTCTTTCGCTGAAATCAAACCCTAGACGAAAATCAGGCAATTAAAATTATTGGCGTTTAACTCAGCCAATTTGAAATCATCGCAGTGTTTATTGACTACACTCGCGAAAGTAGTATAATCTTCGTTTTCTTTGCGGGTGAGATTCATGCATTTCCAGTGCTTGTGGAACAGTGACATTATTGGACTGAAGAGTTCTGTTAATGATTGAACTGCCTGTTTAAATTCGCTGGTTTTCTTAGACAAAACTGAGTAACATTTCTTTTGTTTTATATGTGAAATGGACTAAATCCAACAATTATTTTAATATATATTCTGTTTATACGTTATTTTAATAGATACAATTTATTTAAGTAAATGCGCTGGTTTTAATTAAACAGTATTAATTACATTTACCATTCTGAATGTTCGAGGAATTTCGTAGACAATATGCGTTCTCTATAGATAAGTGGTAGAGTACGTCAGATTAAATGCCATTTCCGTGTAGGATACAGGTTCGATTCCTATTGGAGACAAGGAAAGTCAAAAAGATCCTCAAAGTTTAACCAGGCCGAGTTGAATTATTTCGTAAGGGGTCTAAATTTGCCAAAAAAGGCTGCGGAAATCTTAGCTTCAAGACTTAAAGAAGAAGAACTTGTTCACTTCAAACCCATACATTTCATTTTACAGAAAAAGAGAAGAACTTAAATATTTTAGAACAGAGGTTAGTTTAGTATATTGCTGTGACAAACCTGCTTTGTTAAAGAAGATGGGGGTTCAGTCTTACGATGTAAATGATTCGCGCTTGTTTTAATTCGAAAAGAAGTCTTAAGTGTGCATTGTTGCATAATGGCAATTTAAACGGCTCGATACCAATTGGGCACTCAACAAAAGTATCAACATATAGAAAATGTTTTTAAATCTTATCAAATATAGGGAGCACGAGTGGATCCTGTGTGTTGACTTACAATGGTTAATTTTCTGCTAGGACAAGGAGAGTATACTAAATATCTCTTTGCTTATGGGACAACAGAGCCAAGGAAGAAGATTATTTCAAATTTAGCCAGAACGAACATATTTTACTGTCGGAGAAAAAAAATGTAATCAATCCACCTTTAGTGAGCAGAAATCAAATCATATTTTCTCCTCTGCATATCAAACAATGCCTCATTAAAGAAATATAGAAACGCTTTAGATATGAACGACGAGTATTTCAAATACGTAACTTCAATATTTCCAAGTTTAAGTTTGGAAAAAATCAAGGCGCGAATTTTCGACGGTTCACAAAAAAAGAATATTAATTAATGACATCAATTTTCCTAAATGTCATGAATGAACGCAAGAAAAATGTCTGGTTCTCATCTGTGGACTTAACAGAAAACATTTTAGGCATTTATAGAGTTAAGTTGCAATATGAACATAAAAATGCAGTTTTTGAATAACCATCTTTTAACCAATTTCGAATTAATTTAGGTGATGCAAGTAACGAACAAGGGAAGAGATTCCACCAAGATATCAAAATTATGGAGGAATGGTGCCAAGGCCGCTGGCTTTTCCATGTGAAGACTGATTACTGCTCGTACTTGAGACATGTCATCAACAAAAAAAAAAAAAAGAATCGCTAGAGAGTCTTGTAAAATAAAATGTTTTCTTCATATCTGTTTGTTTTTATTTGAAGTCATTTCTATCGTCATGAAATAATTTTAATGGAGTTTGAATTGCTTTTATTCGTGAAATATTTTTATTTATATTTAGTGATTGACTGCATTTTGATTTGGAGACGTTTTCTATGAAGGTCAAAACATTTACGTAACATCGTTTCTAGTAGTAGCTAGACATATAACTTATAAAATTATTTGTAAATATTTAAAGATTTGTTCAGGCTTTAATTTAATTCTATTTGCTGTTCTTGTATTTATAACAAAATTTCGACCGATCCATTGTACGGCCTTCTTCAGTTGTATAGTCTGCCTTAATTCGAATAATAATGACCCTTTTCTAAATTAAAGAAGGTATCTGCAAACATTAGACATTTTAATTTTTTACCTCAATAGATCAGCTCCCAAAAAAACATATTTAAACTTAGAAAGTATTTATAAATACATTTACAAAAATGTTTTTAAGATTCTTTCCCAAATTTAAGTTTTCTTGCATGTACGATTGTCTTATGTAGGATCTTTCCCACAGATGCAACGTTGCAAGTTTATTGCTATTTTCATGGCAAAATATTTAGATGGGCAACATTCTTTAGTTACCCCAGTTTAGACCTTTACATCTAATGTACTCTATGATAATTCCGCGGAATCGAATCAGCCTCGTTCCCCGCCCCGTATTCCAAATGTAAAGAGATAGTTCCATTCAAACAGCTTTTTCCCAAAAATTGCTACTTTATGAATTAGATTTACGGCCACATCACGTTGAAACATCCATTCCCGTACGAACACCGAAGTTAAGCAACATCGTGCCTGGTCAGTACCTAGATAGGCGACCGCTTGGGATTACCAGGTTCAGTAAGCTTGGATGTGTGGGTGGTGTAATATATAATGACTCAAAATTATTAATAAGAGAGCCGAGTTCAAATTCCCGTTGGGTTCGTTATATTTATAAATTTACATGAATTATAAACCCAACATGTTTCCCGGGTGTCACTGTTGCCTAAGAAATTCTTTTGGTTGAGGATTGTTGATTAGCCAAAATTAGGTACTGAACACGATTAAACAAAAATTAGGAGTTAACATCATTGAAGGTCTCTTAGATTTTCCTGCGTTTTGGGTCTCAAAATCTCCATGCTGGACATTGACCGACCTCTTCTTCACAGTTGAGTATAATGGGATCTTTACCCTTCTCTCTCTTTCATCTATTTATAGATTTCTTTTCGAGTTTTTTTTCTCTAGGCACAAGAACTGACAAGATATATTTTGACTACAGTTTAACTGTAACAGGTGACATTCTTCAGTTTTCGTTATTAGTCAATCCAATTTGTAGTCTTCAGCCCTTGTTTGAACGTTATACAGGTATACCTCAGTCTACGTCCTTAATTGTTTCCAGGGGTTACGACTTAGGTCGAAAAACGACTTAAGTCGGAATAACCACTCTATAATCTACAAATAAGCACTACCCCCATTGTCTATTACAGTATTTATACGTACAGTATTCTGACTAAGATCGTTAATTTTCACCTTATCTTCCAGCGATATATCTGTACAGTTAGCATTAGCACTTGTACTTTTCTTCGAAGCCATGAGCAAAAATGTATTCTAAACCACAACTGAAATATAATTGAAAGAACGTCAATGGCAGAGCACAGATGTAAACAAGTCTGAATTCAAAATTGGCAGCAATTTGAAATAAGAACATCTGCTGAACATACTTTATTATTTTATTCTAATCTCTCTCTCTCTCTCTCTCTCTCTATATATATATATATATATATATATATATATGTATGCTATTATTTTAAAATTTATTTAAATATGATTTTATACGCGTTTATTGTCATTTTGGTGTTTTGACGTTTCTAATATTTTTAACGGCCGACGTAAACTCAAGTAAAATGACCTAAGGCGAGTTTTATTTTTCCATATAATATTTATGAAAAACTGACGTATCTTCGAAAATGTCTTAACTCGAAACGACTTTAGCCGAGGTATCACTGTATGTGCATGGTTCCTGTTTTTTATACTCTTTAATGTTCAAGTCTTTATTCAAGTTTGCTCAATGTCGTTGGCACACTGTGCCAATCTAAGTTAGGGTCGCCTCAGATAAAAAAAAAAACGTCCCTTAGAATCCTTTGTATTCCATTTCAGTGAGCTGAGACATGTATGTGCGTTACTTTGACATACATTGACTTAGAGGACCAAGTTAGAAGATGTGAGGGTATGGAGGTTTGTGTGACCGTGAGTCCGTACAGGACGGCAATAGTCACTGTTCAGGGACAATCTGGTCAATAGGAACAATTAGAGAAAATATTCAGGTCGGATTACTTACAGGCATCTATGTCAAAATTAAACGGGATTGAGTTAAAGTATCATGATAGAATTGAGGAAAATCTGACGAATATTTCGACGAAAAAGAGACAGGGAAGAGATAATTGTCATGAAGACAAGTTTTGGCTGAATTCATTTTTAAAACAAGGACGAAAAATGAGGATTTTTTGAGAAAATTTTGTCCACTTAAAATACAATGAAATTTAATATATTTGGCGTACAAGGCGATTAGGAAGTTTTTTTTTTTTTTTTTTTTTTTTTTCAAGAGTGGAAAAAAAAACCTGTAGGGTTGTAGTATCCTGACGGCACTCCCACATTTTTTGAAACAACCGGAAGAAAAAACTTAACCAGCGATCGTTGTAAAACTGATTCAGGATATAAAAATTATTTTGTCTGTTGCTGTCTTCCGTCATTCAATATCTGCGGGCCAATATAATACCGACAACAGGATATTTTCCCAGACACAATAATAAATTCTACGATTAAAACTGAAGTTATAAACAAACTTTCTTACATCACGTGCAAATTTAATGTAACTAAAAATTATCAAATTCCTACTAGGAGTTGGAGGTCGTTCAAAAAGAATTGCTTTGTAATCAGTAAATTGACGACAAATCGTATGTATATACAGGGTGATTTGAAAAGTAACTCCCTATTTTTAAATGATGGACTTTCCTGTCTAATTATAATTTTTACAAGACGGGAGAGTCCATCATACATAAAATAGGGAGTTATTTTTCAATCAGTCTGTAGACAGAGAGTTGTTTACGGCCAAATCACACTGAAAGCATTGGTTCATGTTCGATCATGAAATTTAAGAAACAATAAGTTTTGTCAGTACTTAAATTGGGGTCTCGGTTACTTTAAGGAATAGGGGAGTAACCCCTAAAAATATTCGATCTTTGTGAATCGGGGAGGTGGTAAAAGAATGGTGCAGCGACAGACTGTTATTTTAAATCACATCTTATGACTGCTTGTTGGAGTAACGTCATTGTCAGCGGCAAAGAGATACCATAACCCCCCCCAAAAAAAAAAACCCGAGACACTAACATTTTGTTGGATTTGCAATCTCTAATACAAAGTTCACTTGGAATGTAACTGAAAAACATTACAATTACTGAATCTAATTATTCAGCATACATAGCTTAGCTTAGATGTGCCACAGGATCGAAAGTATGACACCCAGTGAGGGTCGAACTCACTACTTAGTCATCAGTGTTCTAACGAAACAAGGTTGCTAACGATTGCACGACATCGAAATGCCCAAATATTGAGCAGCGGATGTTTTTGATATGGCAGTAGCGGCTGAACCTTTTTACAAATCACCCATAATTTTTTACCTTCATACAGATAACAGTCTGGCAAAATAACGTCTGACATGAATATGTGTACGAAGCAGAAGTATCACACTGAATTCCTCCATGTAGAATAATTGCACCCGTTGCCATTTATTGACGCTAGCTGAAGGTTTATGGAAACCAAACAGTCGATGTGAGCCCAGTTAGGTGATGGGTCACGAGGGTGAACAGGTGCAACAGCGATGTGTGTGACAAGTCTCGTTCCAGGCGGGCCTATAAAGCTGTCAAATTACAATATGGAAAGCGTTTTAAATATACATGGACAATAGCGGTAACTATGTGTAAAAATATTGTTTGGTAGTTGAAAAGTTGTTTTATGCAACAATGTTATTTTGTACGTTGTCGCCTCGTAGTATTTAAGATGGAATATGTGAAAACCAGTTGAAATTCTCTGGTGTCTTCTCACTTGTGGAATTCATTCCGGTCACTTGCTTTCCAGCCAACTTTGATCTTCAAACTTTTTAATACCGTGTCTTTTGTCTTTTTAATTCTTCTTCTTTTATTTTTCACTCTCTTTCATTAAATGTTTTTTTCTTTTCCTCATATTCTTTTACATTCAGTAATCCCTTGCGCCTTAGTGGCTTTATTGACTTTTTTTTTACGATTTGATAGGAAAGACTGGGTCAGTTTAAAAATGTGTGAAGAGACATCGTGACTTTTCAGCTTGTGGAGAAAACCTGTATGCCAAACCCAGTCAAAGGCTTTCGAGATGTTCAATGCTACATCTCAGGCTTCACCATCTTTATCTAGAGCAGAGTGGGTGCTCATGTTAATAACATAATGCTCGATGCAATATAAAAGGGCCATAAACTATGTATTAATATACATTTTTCCCTCACCGGGAGCACGTATATATATGCTCTCTCTCTCTCTCACACACACAGAGAGAGAGAGAGAGAGAGAGAGAGAGAGAGAGAGAGAGAGAGAGAGAGAGATAATAAATATACATTTGTTATCACTTCTGAAGTTAATAATGATGTAATAGTTGAATCCAGCGATCATGTTAGGACCTATCATTACTATTATCACTGAAACTGCCCCATTACAACAAGAGATGTATATATATTACCAATTTTTGACTGGAGGGATAATTCCAAGGAGGATATTAATCCAGGGAGAACTCAGTGTAGACGACAGAGCATAATAATAATAATAATAATAATAATAATAATCAAGAAGAACCTTAAATATTCATTTCAGTTATAATTTATTTTATGAATATCTCCATATACTTTCATCTCTTTAAACCGAAATCTTTTAATAAATCGAGACAATAATCCGGGGAAATTGCCTCCATTTATTGAAAGATTCCGGTCTAAAGAGATGAATATATAATGATATTCCTGAAACAAATTGTAACCGAAATGAAAATGAATCTTTAAGGTTTTCTTCTTGATATATATATATATATATATATATATATATATATATATATATATATATATATATATATATATACATGTCACACATTGAGTGCTGATGTTAATAATATAGTGTTCGATGCAATATAAAAGAGCTATAGACTATATATTAATAAATATACATTTTTTTTCTCGCTGGGAGCACGGCTCAGAGTTTCATAAACAACGGAATGATCTTCAGTTTTAACCTCAACAACTGAAGATTGCATTGTGTATGTATCGTACTACCGGTGAGGGAAAAATGTATATATATATATATATATATATATATATATATATATATATATATGTATGTATATGTGTGTGTGTGTGTTTTGTGTGTAAAGAGAGTAAAAAGGTGTGTGCGTGAGGGAGAGATAGAACAATAAACGCAAAACCTTTTCAGGTTTGATTTAATAAGCTGCTGTATGAACTACTGTACTACAAGCAAGCACCAACATTAAAATGAATTCGGTGTCTCTGTTGTTCCGATGAAAGTAGTCTTCGGTCTCTTTTTCCTCTATTGTTTTTTCTCTATTGTTCTCATTGTCAGGCTATTGTTTAGACAAACACGCACTTTTTTTTTATCGATATTATATTTATTTTCAGGCACACTAAACTTTTCTGTCTTTGGTTTCAGTCGAATCAAATTATGAACAAAATTCATTGATAACTTGTTTTGATTTAGTTTTTCTCATTTTATTTATCTATTGTTTTGCGGGGAAGGCAACTTTTCTCAACCGAAATCAAAAATCGACAAAATAT